ATATAGGATGTGAACCAAACTTATTGTAAATGCTGTAGTGGTTGTTAGCGTCGAAGCAGTCGGTGATCGGCATTAACTTATATCTCTTTATGCATTGCATCTTATATGATCTGCTCTTAAGAACCAAGCAGTCAGGTCGAAAAGACTGGGCAGTCAGAAGTATTTTACACTTTAAGTTATTTCCTAAGAATACGTGGATAAACAATTTCGTCTGATTGTATCTTTAGCAATGTTTCCAAAATTCGAAGTGACTTGTTTAGAATATAATTCAAAAGCGTTATTTCTGTCCCATCCTTAACCGTACGTTTGCTGAACAATATTTTAGATCGTTACAGTATTCTGCATATATGTCTGTGTTTTTTAAATGAAGCAATTATGTCACAAACGCGAAGCTTAATTTTATTTGAAGTAAATTCAATATATATGCAATAAGGTAAAGTTGTTAAGTAAAATTTTATTGAAGAAAGTTAAAATGAGGTACTCATGTAGCAGGCATAAAGAAAATCATAAGTAAATTGCCGGCCAGTGGATTAACTCCTGCATTAACAATTTTCGGAGTAAACGGTGATTAATCAATTGGTTTTTTAATGAAGTCGTGGTGTGAGTTCGTAGGTTTCCCTCCCTCCAAGTCGCTATAAATCCCTTCACTTACCAACATCTTCACTTGAGCCCCGAAGATGGAGACATTATGTTTCTAGGAAACGTTTGTGTCTGCCTACCAATCTACACGCCACCAAAATCCGGAAGTATGACATCAAGAAGTGTTTACTCGAGTTTGAGATTAACACTTCCGCCCTTCGAGTCAAATAGAAACATGCCATTCTTTAAGAGTGAAAGCTTGGTGCTAATGCAGATGTGCCAAGAACGCTGTAATGCCGTTGATTTAGCCGACTGACCACAGTCCTTCCCCTCTGCCCGGATGTCGACTGCGAGTGGGCTTCGCAAATCATTCTTAAGTGCACTGTTGAATTGCCAGTGCACATGTTATTGTACCGCAGTGACTTTGCCATTAACAATGATTTTGCTAATTTTGTCCCCATAATTTAAGCTCTTAAAACGAATATTATTTACAAGTGGTTTTTTTGAAAGTGTTGATTCCTGTATCTGAATCCTTAGCCAGGTACGATATATAACTTCACTGAATTGAAGAGATGAAACATTAAATTCGGAGTCTTACGGAGGAGTTACGTGGAAATTCTGTTGTATTACACACATGTTCATGTGAAGGTCGATTGTTAAATATATTCTTCTGTTATACACAAACTGCTTACAATAAGGATCAGCAACCTGCGGGCCGCATTTGAAGCTCGCAAACTTTTCCCAAGGCGAGAAGGGAAAAGAAATTTATGCATGAGGTTAACGTATAGATAATTATATAAGCGTTAAGGGAATCAACAAAGGGAGCTGGGGTAGATCAGTTAGTATAGTGACTGAACGACCGGAGTTCGATCCCCGGCAGGAACAGATGATTTTTCTTCTAGCCTCTACATCCTCACTGGCTCTGGAGCCCACCGAATATTTTATCCATTGGGTACCTGGGTCCTTTCTCGGGAGTAAAGCGCCGCCGGGGCGTGACTCTAACCATTTACCCCATCTAGCGCCGAGATTAAGAATGAGTAGGAGCTGTACCGCCTCTTCCCCCCCCCCCAAGCGCCTACATGGCGTACAGTGCGATAGCTTTAATTACTTTACTTTTAAGGTAAAAAAAAAGTGACAGTGGAACCACGGTTCCGGAAAATTTGACGTAAATACGTCTATACGGTAAGGAGTTTATATAGTGGCTTTATTCTAAATATTTTCTTTATACATGCTTTACAATTGAGTAAAGTTTGAGTAAGACATTGCTTATTCAACTTGAATTAGTTACGCTTAAGATGGGTCTGTGGTAGCTGAAATATGTTATAAAATTTGTACATTTTAGAGTATCAACATATCGTGCAAACACCATATCTATACAAGATTTTGATCTAGTAGTACTACATTGAGGAATTGACATCAACATTAAGCCAAACGCTTCCTCCATAAATGTGACAAAACTTTGATTTTCCTCCTTCTTTAAATCAATGTTAAAATCTCCTGTCAATATTATCGGCATTGTATTAGGATTTTCTGTGTCTTAAATGACTCAAAATAAGTTTCTTACATTCATCAATAGGTGTGTGGTTACAAATATACAGGGTTACAATTAAAACTTTTTCATCATTGACCATACACTCTGGAGTTCATTATTTAATACTTCTATTTTTTACGTTTTCTGTACTGTCTCATATATTCTGCGTTATGGAGTCTTTTAGCTTCAATGTCATCCATCTTGTACATAGTATGACGCAACAAACTAACGCAA